GTTAGGAAACAAAACTTCCAGAACACGGCCACACAGCCCGGAAGACCCACACCAGCCAAAGCAGAACTCTGTTCACAAAACTGGTTCTTTCTTGTTCTCTCCCCTCCCCACCAACTTTACTATAGCCATCCATCTTCTCCCCATCCATCCTCTGCTCCTGAAGATTGAGAGACACTTTGAAACTGCAGGTGATGGGATCATGAGTTACTGGGGAAGTGGCCTGTAGCAAGTCAAGAAAACTGAAATAATCTTGTACTTTTCTTGTACTTGCACAAGACACTTTTGTATCCAAAATAAGTTACTGCAGCTTCAAACATTTTCATTTCAATACATTTAGTAATACAAATAAAATATTGTTAATTTTGTTAGCTACCTAATCATGGACAGATAATTACTGTATTTGTGAAAAGCCACAGGTATTATTATAAAGTGGGTAATGTTAGGATATTTGCACATCAGTGGAAATATTTCCACACTTACCTTATTATTTGACTCATTTAATTTACAATAGTTTACTTAAGTTCACATAATTATTGTTAGCCACATGCAGAACAATCCTATATACATAAATATCCATCAGTGTGGTTTATCCTTCCATCAACTCCATCCAACCACAATTTTTCCTGTTTTCTCCATCCTCTTGACCTATTCCCTCTTCCTTCATGTATTTCTTTTGAAATTAGAGCCTCGTTTATTTTCTCTATATAATCAAACCACCTCAACATTCTACTTCCTTAGTGGTCACTCACTTTTGTGTTCAACTGACATTCATTCTAGCATCCATCCATTCTTGACTCTCTTTTTGTTTTTGTTTTATGACATACACTTAAGTCACTCATTCCTAAAGCATTCAACGTACTTTTATGTTTCTCCTGACATACTAAACTCTTACTTCCACATAACAAGGTGCAGATACATGCCTTTATACACAGCCATTATTGTTTCTTTTGACAAACATTCATATACTGTACATTACAGTTCTGCTGAGCATTTGCACATTATAAAATTTCTCTATTTTTCCATCTTTAGTAAACACTCTACCAAGATACACAAATGCATCTATTTAACTCTTTCTCACCATTTATGTATGACTTGCAATCATTCACTCCACTTTCATTGATACAACTACTCTAATATACAGATTCTGCTCCCTGCTCAACACTGAATCATTTGCTAAGCATTCCATTTGTTCTCATGCATTTACTGCATTCAGCAACCAATATTCAACTCAGTATTTGTGTAAAACAAATCAAGGCTATTCTCTTTATCATACTCTTTCACTAAATCAGCAAATCTGCAATTTTTTTCCTCATATTCACACATTTCTCTATAACCTGCTAAAGAGCAAAACTCTGGTCTGCACATTCCCTACCTGGCCTACAGCTGTTTTGCACTTCCAAAAATTTGCTAATTGTCACTTCCTATATTACTTCAATCAGTATTCTGCCAAACATTTTTCCAGATATGCTTGACAACCTATTCCCCGCCCCCCCACCCGATGTTTTGCATTCACTTGTTACCTTTTTTATACAGGAACAATAATGACACTCTTACAATAGTTAGGCATGGGTGCCATCCATGCCTAACTACAGGAACATTTCAATATTCTAGTAGCATTAATGACTTCCCTTTCATTATCTTTTTTGGGAGGTGATACATTTCTGGCTTTCATTTCAACTGCACTCTTTGGATGTATTGCTATCATTTCCATACAGATCTCTAAAATATTAGTTCCAGCATTCTCTCAGTTCAGTTTCATCCCAAATAATTTTATCACTTTCATTCTTAATTCTGTTCTGCTAAAGGCTATGTTAGTCCTTCAAGGTAGGTCAGGTCAGGTCAGAACAGGAACTGCTCTACTGCAGGAACTACTACAGCACTGCAGGAACTACTGGAATTCTATTTTATTGTTGTTGGGTATAATAACTGAATCCTGAAAGCCTGCCAGAGTCTCCCTCTTCCCCCTCTTAGATCATACCAGATGGAGTTATTTTGAGTCTATTTCTCATGCTCCCTCCTTTCCCAAGTCTAAGCAGATGTTTACTTCCTCCTCTATTATCCCTTAATGGTTCTGCTAATGGTTCTTGCATTCTTGTTGCCAACATTATCTCTGCAATCCTCTACTGGCTCCTTGCTTAGTCCTTTTCACCCACCTGGAAAACAGTACCACACCAATGGATTTTGCTCTCTAGTGAATTTTTAGGATTGCTGTCTTTGAGCCTTTTACCTTTTAACAGAAAGTAGCATACTTCTAAAATATTTATGATTATGATTATGATTACATATTGGCAGGCAGAAAGTGAAATTGTAAAAAGTGAAAAGTTAGTATTAATTCCTTTAATGAACCTCTTCAAGACTAATTCACATACTAGAATTTTATAGATATTGTTAAGTGCCTACAGTTATGAATGCAAATAGGATGACGTGTGCAGTACAGATATGGTAACTGGAATGTAGCAACTGGCAGCAACTTTTTTGTTGAATATTCAGGACCAAATTTCGTTTCTGCAAAATGCATGAGAAAGTACTATCCAGAGTAAATGCATATACATACATTTGGGGATACATACATACATACATACATACATACATATAAATAAATAAAAAATAAAAAATGAAAGTTATATCTACAAGCAGTTACTCAGATTTCTTGAAAGTATCTGCAATAAAGCTCACACTTCTACAACATAACCAACATATTTCTGTCTCCACGTGTGTAAATATTATATGCAAGCGAGTGCATTTATATGTATTTATTTATTTTGCTTGTATACCGCCTGTTCTCAAAGGCTTTAGGAAGCTAACAATGTCAGCATATAAAATAATGGTCCCAGAAAACCCCAAATGTATGTAAAAGTAAAAAGATCAAGAAAGATAAAACCCCAAAAATACAAATGCTATGTACCCATAACCCCACCTTCCAATTACAACACACCCTCCTCCAGTGTAAGATGGAACATGTAGGTATGTCAGAGTTTTCCTAAAGCCCAAGAAGGACTAGGTTGACTGAATCTCTGCCAAAAGTGAGTTCCAAAGAGCAGGGCAACTACACTTGATCAAGCACATTGTCTCTTTCTTGGATACAGAGTGTGAAGAAATTGCTTTTGTTTTCTCCACCCACATTTCCAAGTCTTTCTTGCATCCGAAGAGAGTAACTGACATATGCAAACCCAATCTCTCATGGTTTACTGAACTAATCTGCCCATAATCACTCCAGTGAGAGCTTTAGTTCTGGAATTTGGGCAAATATGCAGCAGAACAAGTTTAATTTAGAATTACTTATGGTGACTAAGACTTTTCTGCAATCATTTTTTTTTTTTTTAATCTGCGCTCAGTCGTTACCACCTCTG